AAAAAAAAAAAGAGAGATGAGCAATTTCGAGAGGAAACACAACCAGATCTGATTTGTTTTCTTTTTGTAAATAGAAAATTTGTTTGAATAAATGAGGCCCACTGATCTGGTTTTTTTTTCTTAATTAATTTTTTGTTCCGGTCAGTAAAACACATCAGCAAATTAAAAATATACTTATACACATCAGCATTCCGTCTAAAACATCCGTTTAAAATTCGTTTGCCACGTCAGCATCTCCATCAATTAATCCTTAAATAGAAAAAACTCAAAGTTGACATCCTTAATTAGAAAAAATTGAAAGTTAACCGCCTTATTTAGAAACTGGTAAAGATTACATCCTTAAATAGAAAAACTTACAAAGTTTAAGTCCTTATTTGGACCTTTACTCTAAGTTCTCCCGGCCCAACCCTACGTTGGTCGAGATTCCCTACGGCCACCGTCCGTTGCACGCAATTTGTAAACCACCTCCATCGCTCCGCTGCCTTTTTCTGTCTCTTCCTTAACAGTCTTTTTCTCGATTCCTTCCTTGGTTCTCTCCCTTTTTTTGTCTAGTAGAAAATAATTGAGAAACGAAAGCTTTTGGGAATTTTGCAGCCAAATTGTTTAGTATTTTGCTCGTGGTAAGTGAGTTAATTTGAGCATTTGAAAATCGGGTAGATCGATCTTGAATTATGTAACTTTTGGGATTGTGATGCGATGCCGGTAGTATTCTGGGGTGATCTCTGATTTTCTGTTTAGATTTTGTGAATCGAGTTGGTTTGAATCCAGATGATCGGGTTTAATTATGTGGTTTGATTTTGATTGTAAAGATTAGTCCTTTTTCTTTCTGAGATGTTTTATATGTTCGTGATTTGGTATATGAGTTGGGTTATTACCTGAAACCATAATCCCCCCTGAATTTTGAGTTTGTATTCATAAGAAACTTCCAAGTTTGAATTTTGGTCTCCACCAGAGATAAATTGTATTGCTTTTTTACTTTCAATTTTAGGTTTTTTTTGGCATTACTGTGAGGTTAGTATATCATGAATGCGACTACACATTGGAATGATAGTGACATGATGGTGAATCACAAAGTTCTAGTGTGGTTCATTACCATGCCTAAGTAAGGCCTGCTTGGGTTGGTAACAATGCTGGTAGAGTGTCAATAAGGTCTCTGGTGACTTGTGGTCTGTCAGTGAGATAAGGGTGTCGGCTTGGTGGTCTGAGTACTGATCTTCGGAGGCATTCAGGCCTTCCTGATGTGAATTTTCCATTTCTTTATTGGTTGAATCTTTATTGTTCATTATATTGTGACTGTATTAA